CGCGCCCCCTGCACGCGCCGGCTCAGGTGGCTCAGGGCATCAACCGCTGCAATTGCCTCTGAGACGGCGGTCCTAGGGTTCGAGCCACCACGGATTTTCGACTCTAGCCAGAGTGCTAGGTCGAGTTCAGCCGCTGACTGGAGGAGAATTATAGCGTCCGGCTGCTCGGATCGGTAATTTTCCGTGATTTCTCTGATCAACACCAGTCGAATGCCGGAGCACTACCCTAACAATCGGGCTACGGACTGCGCGCGATCGTTCCTTCCTCTTTCTTGTCCTATTTTTACCATTTACAAACACACACATTTATAAGACCTGCACCACCACACTTATCGCCAGACCGGAGCTTAGAAGTTGTCCTGATTGGGGCGGTGGCACTGTGAGGGGAGATTGCTGATTGGAAAAAACCCTGCAAGCCGACGGGAAAATCGACGCTGGATTTTGCCATCTAGTGGGAAAGATTAACACCACTTCTGACGATGCAAACAAGCGCTACTCTTACGGGACTAATAACCATTGAACCATTGCCAGTTGACTCTCTCGGAATAACTAATTAATCAATGTAACCGGATTGTTGCTTCTTATATTATCATAACCTCCATTAAGCGGTGATCTGTTCTAACGGCCAACTATTTTTGTACTCGTGTAACTCCGCTTAAAACCGGATTTACTGTAAGTAACAGAATATTTTATTGAAACTTTGCACAAAATCTGCAGGATACTATTGTTATCTAGATCTTACTTTTTGGAAAAGGAAGTAATGAAGTTGGAGCCAGTAAGTACGAGAAAGTTTAAATATTCTAAAGTATTCGTTCCTCTCTGGCGATGTGGTTCAAAACTGCTCAATTTCCTGTGAGGGAAAAAAACAGGCTAGCGATTGTTACTGTTCTGTTCGACCGTAGGAGTACTCCCCAGGACAAAATTTCCAGAAGGATCACAATCGGCCTCTTCAATTGGCCGCGTGATATAAGAAATTCTTCAGTTGTATTACGGTAACATCCTTCCAATCATTAAAAATACATTTTATTTAGCTGTTTCAAATATTTTTTAAACCGAAGTTTATTAGTTTGAGGTTCTACAATTGTCGAAATAGAAAAATCACGTGAAATTTGTTGTCCGAAGAAATGAAGCAATAAAATAAACGCGAACTATTCTTCGTATTTTCATTGTGGATTCTTCGTATACGTATAGTATCTTATCTTTTTCTACTTATTATTCACAACAATATTAATCCGGTCTAAATACAAGTTTCACGAGTCGAAGAAAAAAATGTATTTTGCTGAAGATTAACTTGTGAAACCTAGTAATTGAAACGAAAGCACAAAAAAGACTAGAAAATTACAGAAATAATGTTCCCTTGAAAGCAAGGGAATACTCCTTGAAGAAAGTTTCCGGGATTGTGGTTGTATTCAGTTGTCTTACTTTGAAAGTTATTAACATTCTCATGAATTGCGTCAAGTAGGTCGAGGAATGTCCTTGTTCAGGAACTTGTAGAGATAGACTTGGTGCAACTTTAGTAGTTAAGGGGTGCTGAAGGTTTTAATTTCGGTTAAGTATTTCCTTCTCACAAAAAATAACTGTGCCGCGGTCAAAGTTTTGAAGGCCAGAAAAAGAAGGTTCTCAAGCAATATAATTGTATTTTGTTATTCGTAACAAGGTATTCTTCTAGTACTTTGCATTTTGCGCTGTGTTGCAGATAGTTATTTCCGAAACATTTTGTAGATGAAAGATCACAACGTAGAAGTAATTATATAACCGTCTCATTCAGTCAGGAACAATGAAGTTTTTGTTTTTCTATGAACGTCTTTGTAAGCCTTCGATGTAAACTAAGGCAACTTCAATTAAACGAATTTTGTGTTTTTATTCTGGTCCTGACAACGATATATGCACCATAGTGAGGAAGGCACCATCTACCTGCAAACAAATTCATGGGGTTTTAGCAATTCGCAGTATTGAGACAAATAATTATTTTCCCTCCCGAAAGTTGAATTTCTTGCGTTCTGCAGCCGATATGGAGAGATTACTGTAGTCCTAGCACCTACTGTTTATTTGCAATCTGTGTGGATCGGACCAGTAATTTTTGTTCATTTTAATCGATAATTCACCATATCCGAGTTCACCGTATCTGAGTTCGTTATATCCAGAGTCGAATGTATTTCAACTCACTTCTCGGATTTCGCAGAAGTGGGTGGTTCTCACACGGTTCGAGGCTTTATGATTTTACCTGACACTTTGAACTATACTTTCTTCATCTTAACGTCAGACATCTTCATGTCAGATAAACCACAATGGTCAGGACGTACGTGGTTCTAATCTTGATGTTGAAAATTATGACGTAATCGCGAGCCTTCGAAGCAATGTGAAAATAATGAAGCAATCTCAGACGAAGAGAAAGAAGTCTTTTATGGGAACTCGTGATGTTGCATAGACACTTGTAAGAGGTACAAGAACGTTTTGATTTCATTGATTTGACACGAGAAGTCTATTGTCATTTGTCATCAATCATCATACGCCAGAAATTGGACTGACTATATGTGTGTGTGTATGTATATATATATATATATATATATATATATATATATATATATATATAACTTCAGAATTATGACTTTGAGAGAATAAACAAACCCCAGCGTAATAGATCGTTACTGAAATTCCACAAAATTCCGATTTTTTCTATCATTTTCATCTCTACATTAACCACTAATTACCTGATTATCCAATTCCTATCGAAAACAATTCATCCCAACACCATAACAAACTTCTTCAATGTGACGTTAACCAGGTAATTCCCATGCGACTCTTACTAGTAAAGTTTGAAGAGGAAGCGCAAATGAAAAGGTGCATTTCTGCGGATATTTAGTTCAAGTTGCATTTTTTTTATGCATTTAGTGAAGGTAAAAATATCGATGCATTATGGTTAAAAGGAGGTTATATTACGTCGCAGCTATCCATGTATCAATAATCTACTCTGAGAGTAAAATTAGAAAACGTCGGGAGCCACGGATTTGATGCCGGCCGCGGTTACAGGAGAAGTGAAAATGCACTTTGGTGGACATGCTCCATCCGAACATCTTTGTGGTATTCCTCCTCCAAGCTAATTTGCCTTTTTGAATAATGGATGATTTATTAGTGATTCCCGATGTGTGCACTTCTAGGGCCATTAATTCCCTGAGCGCAGTGTATATTTTTATCGCCGGAAATGTACGTGATCTTCCCCCGCTGCAGAGAACTGTATGGCAACAACAGGCACTGAACTACCCGTCGGTTCTCCCCAACCAGGAATCCCTCACCAGAGGGGCACCCCTCTAACCGCGACAAGCTCTAAACTTCCGTCTGGCTCGATGTGTGTGGTAGTGTATTGCATGTCAGTGTGCGCGTGTGTGTGTGTAAGGGAGGAGAGTACAAGGAAAGGTCGCACGCGATACGTGGCCCGTTTGTTAGGACACTGCACGGAATTCGCCTGGCATTGATAGGAGAAACGAGGGAAAACTACCGACCAGAGCAGCCGGCCACTGGAATTCTCCTCCAGTCAGTAGCTGAACTCGACATAGCTGTCTCTAACTGGTGTCGAAAATTCTAGCACCGTCGGGACAAGAACCCCAGAATCACCCGTTCAGTAACAGCGTACACAGTAACATCAATTGACGCCCTGAGCCACTTACGCCGGTTCTACGAATACGGTTGTAATATTATGTTATATTAAAAGTGTGCCAAGTAAAACAAACAAAAAATGTGAATAAAAGTGCGGGATGTACTTGAAAGCATTTTGCGGGGGTCACTTCCCGGCTTCCCCTCCCCACCCACCAGAGCCGCCAGCGCTCATCGGGCCCGTCGCGCGCGGGACGCGAGCGCGGGGGCGGTGGGGAAGGAGGGGGAGGGGGCCCGGTGTCCTTGGCCGCGATGAGCAGCGCGCGCGGGCGGGCGCACGTGTTGGCAGTGAAGGTGCACGGGAAGTGGGCCGACGAGAAGGCGGTGCCGTTCCACTGGGCCGCGCCCGACGGCCCGCACTACGTCTTCGACCACATCCACTTCCACTGGGGCTCCAGCGACCGCGAGGGCAGCGAGCACACGGTCAACGGACGCGCGTAAGTACCTCCGCGCCCGCGCCCTCGCCCGCGCCCTCGCCCGCGCCCTCGCCCTCGCCCTCGCCCTCGCCCTCGCCCTCGCCCTCGCCCTCGCCCTCGCCCTCGCCCTCGCCAAACCTCTGGCCTTTGACCACTTTTATTACTTTATTTTTTTCCTCTTTCAGTTTTGTGTTTATTAATTTGACTAAGGTTTTTAAAAAAAATGTTGTCTATAAAATTTTATTTTCTCATGATCTGAAATTTATTTTAAACATACTTAAAATTAAATTTTGAAAAAACATAAATATTAGTCAAAGGTACTATGTTGTACCTCTTACAAAGGGTAGTTGTACCTTTGCGTACTCCACACGAAATATAATAATCAGTTCATTTGAACCTATTTTTTAATTAAATTAATTTTTAACAATGTAATATGAATGTATGATGCATACCAGCAATAAAGTTTACAGAAACTATAAAAAAAGGATTAAATAGAACAAATCACATGAAAATGCAAACCGTGCAAATCTGAATAAAACTAGGTAACTTCAAAATTATTAAATTGTTTAAATTACAGCTTAAACAAATTGTAATACCATTACATTAAAAAAAGCCTATTAAGTAATACAGAGTAAAAATCCTGCCAACACTGTAACGAGATAGATCGACACCAAATAGCAAATGCTGTTGCAGAAGACCTGATCCACCTGTCTACGGTGGATTTGGAAACTTGAACACAATATCGAAGCATCACGAACATAGGAAAACCAACCTCTGAAATTTGAGTAATATGCCTCTGGAAAATACCGTTTAAAGGTACAACAGGTCAAAGGTACACCACCTTCGCCTAAAGAACCTTCTTTCCCGTGTTGCGAAGCGGCCTTCCCATTTTTTTCGTCCTTACTGTATTTTTACTTTTTTTCATTACTTGACTACCGTAATATGGAGTTACTTTAAAACGGACTTTTGGACTTTTTTTGTATATTGGATGGTGAGTTTTTATTTTCACGTAAAAAAAAGCTTGTTGCAAAATGTAAGCCAGCCCCTTTTCTAAACAGTGATATATTGTAAAAATCGGAATTTCGAATAACCACAGAAAAATTTAGGTTAAAAGTTGACTTAATGTTACCCCCATCTTGTGGTGCTAATTGTTCGTGATATTCAAGACTTCGGTTAGAGTATATTATTTCCCCCGGATGGGTTGGCTATCTTCAATGCAATTTCGTTGGCTTCATTACACTTGCAATGTGTCCTCCATCGGAATTGATGTCAGGCTCTTTGCCTACGAACAGCGAATCCTCGAAGTTTACCATTAAAAAATCGTCCACTTTGAAAGCAACTGGAACTTTAATAATAAAGTTGTTGCCTATATGTTAGAGCTCCAATGGGAATAGAGTAGCTTGTGTCTCTGTCCTATTCGAATGTTTCGACTATCGTTGAAACGTTCATCGACTATCGTTGAATCGTTCCTGCTATCGTTGAAATTGCGAGAGAAAATTCGTCACTTCTGACTGGTATCTCTTCATCTGTCGTAACTTCACGGGAAGACTTGTTATGAATGGTCTTCTAAGACTTTCTGGACGATTGAACCTTTATTTATTTTTTTTATTTAATAGGTAATTATTACAGACAAAATTAGTTAACTTGATCCTATGTGGCTCTAGGCCGAAGGGCCTTTAACCATTATATAATCCTTTCGGTTCTAATCTTCGAATTTTCTGGTATTCACCCACATGGTCTCTCATCCGCATCAAAGCCGCGGAAAGATGACCATAAGGTACCGCTAGGAAAACCCCTGAAGGGGGAAAAACCTGCCGTCAGAACCGAGTACATTCTAATCTACTGACGTTTTTTAGCTTATTTTATTTTCTGGGCGTGGGCGTCCCGCCCGTCTCCTTCCAGTCTTGGCCTCCTCAGCACCTGAAATCAAAACAGCGCACAGAAGATCGTCCGCACCAATCTGCCTCTGCCCTTATATTTTTTTTTTCGATCCCCTTATCCCCAATGTCTTTATTACTATGCAGTTTTATTTTATTTATTATATTAAAATTTTACTTACAATTACTATGACTTATGATTATTTCTTAACTATTTACTTACTTAACATAAAATTACTGATAAACTTACATATTGTTATGCTTTATTGACTTATTTATTTCTCTCCAGTCTAGATTGAACCTTTATATTACACCCTCTCGTTAACACAGAGCTCAAACTTTTCCTCATGAGCTCCAATCCATTAACAATTCTTTCTTCGCTAACTTTCTTCGCTTCAGCAGATAAAGTTGTTGGAGTTCATCTGAACAGCACAGGTTTTATTTAACAAGATCGTCTCGAGCGTACACTGATAGGGCAACAGCTTCAGGTGACAGTCGCTTTGTGGCGTGGGGAAAAACATTAAGCCGTAAGTTTGCTTTCCGGCCTCCCTAAATGCCAGATACGAATTAGATATAGATTCGAAGTACAAAAACTGACCTTATGACACAGTGTAACCACTGCAGTCACAAAGTAACTCTACATTAAAGCATATTTTGAAACTTGTAATGCTTGTAATAACTTGTAAAGCTTGTAATAACTTGTAATACTTGGAAAGCATATTTTGATCTTGGAGTGAAATTTCCTTCTTTCGTGTCTCCTACTTCTAGGCGGATTTTTTTTCTTTATTTTTCTCCGCATTTTCTTTCCTCTTTCATTGGATCTCATTCCCGTCTAACGTTTTACCAGTTTATTGGCTTTCAAACTACTTCACAATGCTTAATTTTTGTTCTTTTAATTGATTTGTCCCGTAAATGTAGTTTATTATTTTACCCCGTTAATGAAAATAACAATAATTATTTTTTAAAAGATTCTAAATATGTTCGGAGAAAATTCACTTTTCATATTTTCTCTTTGCCAACGATCTCCATAAATTGAAATTTGAATTAACCATTCAATCAGCCATTTTTGTGACATAACATAATAATATTAGTAGTTCAACGACCGAAATTTTAATTAGTACGTACTGTACGTAAAGTGTTCATTGATGACAGTATAAGTAATTGAAAGTACATATCTTAATAAATTCTTGACGTTTCCATCCAATAAATTGTGTTTCCAACGAATGATCTGTGTCTCCTATAACAATGTACTTACTTTTCCAATTACTTAATTTTCAATAACTTTTTTCAACTACCTACAACTTTCTTTGAATGTTCCTCATCCATTCCTAAGCATTGCCCTAATTATTCCGCGCTTTTTCCTCAGACATATCAATGCCTTAGCGCTCACCAACTTTACATCCAACACAATGTGAAGAGAATAAAATGATCTTCCCGAGAAATTACTGTTTGACTTACAGACAAGATATAAACATGTTTACTTATTCCCGTCCAATTTCTGATAATTTTCCAATCAACAACATAGCAATAATTGCTCCACACTCTAAAGGAAAAAGGAATCCTAGAACTCTTCAAATAGGAATAACGTTAATTCTTGCTGTTGTCTAAAGACTCATCTGCTCCATTACTGCACGGAAAAATGTGCACTGTATGAAATCTAAAAAACAGCAGTGATAGCGCCGGATGCTCTGAATTGATGCTCAGAACAAAAAATGCAAGGACGCGCATGTAAACGGTGACGGTTCCCGTTCTGCTGTTCGCCATTGATTCTTGCTGCAACAAGCTGTGTCTATCTATAATTTTGATAAATCTTAGCATTTAGAGCATTTTGTGCCACAGAATACATGAACTTCTTGAGACCACGTGTTTTCCGAGTACTTGTTTCAAAAGAAAAATGCATAATACGATACAAAAAATCATGCCGAGATTGTAATTTTGAAAGATTATATTTTTTTAAAAAAAGGAAAATAATATTTTTCTTTAGAAAAAAGATGGCAAATTTTGCGTGTTACCACATGTACACTAAATATTAATCCTCTGGAAGTAAATTCTGCTTTTGTATCGGAGGCAAATCTGCCCTTTTGGTAACAGCAGACTTGCCTTTTAAACGTATTTCTTCACATAGCCTTTGCAGTATGTGGAAACACGTTTAAGGGGACTTGTCTTTTAATCCGTGAAGTGAAATCTCTATCCAGTTTAGTGCAGTGGAATACAGAACAATTCAATGGTTAAGCGCTCATGGCAAAAAACTTCCTTGCAAGTTGAATGTATGTACATGAATGTTGACACTCTTGTTTCTTTAGCCTGTCTCTTTTTCACTGAACTGTGTGCGCAATGCGAACAGAATCCACATCACCGCGCGGGCGCATGCATCTCTTTCAGCTTCCCGCTGGAGATGCACGCGGTGCACTTCCGGAAGGACCTGTTGTCCCTGGAGAAGGCGCTCAAGGAGCCCAGCGGCCTGCGCGTCGTCGGCGTGCTCTTCCACGTACGTGCCTCCCTTCTCGATCCCCTCTCTCACTCTCACACTCACTCTCACACTCACTCTCACACTCACTCTCTCTTTCACTCACACTCTCTTTCACACTCTCTCTCTCTTTCACACTCTCACCTTCTGTCACGTTCACTCTCACTTTCATTCTCTTACTTTCACTCTCTTACTTTCACTCTCTTACTTTCACTCTCTTACTTTCACTCTCTTACTTTCACTCTCTTACTTGCACTCTTACTTGCACTCTCTTACTTTCACTCTCTTACTTTCCCTCCCTCGCTTTCGCTCCTTCGCTTTTGCTCCTTCGCTTTCGCTCCCTCGCTTTCTCTCCATCGCTTTCTCTCCATCGCTTTCGCTCCCTGATTTCACTCCCTCGCTTTCGCTCCCTCGCTTTCGCTCTCTCGTTTTCGCTCTCTCGCTTTCACTCTCGCTTTTCGCTCTCTCGCTCCTGCTCACACTTTCACTCTCACATGCACTCTTTTACTTCCGCTTTTTCTCTCTCTTTCGCTCGGTCTCGCTCACTCTGACTCTGATGCTTCATAAGTGTGGTGGTTAATAGTAAAGAAAATGCCGAATTTTCTTGTAGGTTAATGAAACCTTTGGTATTTCGTTGAACTTCATTTTCGATTAAATACAATGAATTTTATCGCCGACTGTTGTAATTAGTTCCTGGTGCGTAAACTACTTAGGTAATAAGCCATGTAAGTGTAGTGCTTGTTATATCAGGAGAGGTGGAGGCGTTTCCCTCCTGCTCGAGTGCGAAATCTGGCGCCAACTTTAACGTCGGCTTCCTTCCTCCTTCTTCCAGGGATCTCCCCCAGTGGGACTGACCGCAATCGAGTCAAGCGCTAGGTTCCCTTGCCGACTGTTCTCGAGATTAAGTTTGATTAAAATAAATTTATTTCCAGAGTGATTTTTGAAAAACAAATCAATTTAATCGGGGACCAAATTCATAGTGTACTTTAGCCCAATTCAGTCGCAACTCTCATATGTATGGATCTGTACAAGTGCATCCTTGAGTCATCTTTCGGTCTCTTTGTATCTCTTTGTCTCTCTGTCTCTCTCTTTGTCTCTCTCTTTATCTCTTTGCCTCTCTCTTTGTCTCTTTGCCTCTCTGTCTCTCTATTTGCCTCTCTGTCTCTCTCTGCCTCTCTCTCTCTGCCTCTCTCTCTCTCTGCCTCTCTCTCTCTCTGCCTCTCTCTCTCTGCCTCTCTCTCTTTGTCTCTCTCTTTGTCTCTCTCTCTCTCTCTCTCTCTCTCTCTCTCTCTCTCTGCAGGAGCATTTTCTGTCTGGTCTACTGGAATATGTCCTAAAACGTCCGAAATAGTTTCTTTGGAAGATACAAAAGAAGTATAGGATAGAACTGCCATTGATTTCATATTAGTTTTTGCGCAATTTTTAAGTTGCATGACAGTTTTGCATGTGAACAAGCGCACATTCCAAAAAGTACAATTTTTCCTGCTATATTACAATGCTGATATGATGTAAACGGTAGGAATTTACTAGCTACTGCCGCCCGTCAAGAATTCTCGGATATTACAATCACTGGAAGCTTTTAAATTACAGTCTTCTAGATTAACTATTTTTGCTGCAGAATCGACCCCTATTTCATACAATCAATATTTTACAATATGGCAATTGCCAATGAAATTAATCAACGTAAAAGTAAAATAAGTGAATTAGTTTTTGTTCGACATAATATTTGCAAAAGTCAGGTATTGCCTGTACTTACTGAAAATTATTTTTGCGAATATTGCGTGTACTACAAACACGTAAAAATCGCGCCAGAATATTAATCAACGGATTCCGATTTTTTAATTATTGAACCAAAGAACAAACTTGGATTGTTCTGAACGTTGTTGTAATGAGGATTATCTCAAAATAACTTTTTATTGTTTCATGTCTAATTAGACATGAGTTTTTTGTCGAAATCTAAAAATGTTTTGAAGTGATCATCTTCACGAAATTTTATCCAAAAACGATCGTATTAGTACATCTTGCCAATTCAACAAATAAGTGGCATTTGAAACTTCACTTTTCTAATCTCTGTGCGCTGAATGAAAAAAATATATAGTGTATACTAATGGTTAGTTTAAAATGATTAAACTACTCGTAGCTCGTCGTTTCCTAGCCGATAAGGCGTAATTTACAATAATTATTAGAGTAATAAATTATTATTTATTGATCTTTCATTTTGCAGAATCAATGCATATATGGTACACTTCTAGTATGTTATATAAATATATTTCTAGTTTATGTCTGTGTATCTAGTTCTATACACGTGTGTTGGCAGCTGTCGGAGCACAACAACACGGGGCTGGCGCCGGTGACGGAGGCGCTGCGCGAGGTGCGGGAGGCGCACCACGCGGCACAGCTGCCGCCCTTCGCCGTCGCAGCGCTGCTGCCCATCTTCGACAAGCAGTACTTCACGTACAACGGCTCCCTCACCACGCCGCCCTGCTTCGAGTCGGTATCGTGGGTGCTGCGCAAGGAGCCCATGCACGTCTCTGCCGCGCAGGTGAGAGAGCACGCGAGGGGTCAATATGGTGCTCCGGAGAAGGTGGAACGTTTAACTTCTCGGATCTGTTATACCTATTTTACGGGAGAAAAAAAATTCGGAGAAGTAAAGCCGGCTGTCCCATGTTGTAGATTTACTTTATATAAAAGAAACACAAGCCAAAACACAAATTCAAATCGTCTATTTCTTCGCCCGAGTGATTACTAGTTTCTCTGCTAGATGGCGAAAGAAGCGTAGCAAAATGTGTATGTTTGCTATTTCAAACACAATCGAATCCGTTGATTTCGATGGGCCATGTTATAGACATTCGGCACGTGAAAGATCCTCTGTAAAATCGCTTTTTAGCTAAATTCAAATTGCCTGTTTCGTCGCCCGAGTGATGCCTTCTTTTTCTGATAGATGAAACGAAAAAAGCATAGCAAAATTAATATAAATTCGCAGGATCAAACCCGATCGAAGCCGTAGTTTTGTAAGGGAGAACAAATTATCTGTTGGTCTTCCTTCGGAAGGGAAGTAAAGACGACTCCCATGTTGTAAATTTACTGCATGAAAAAGATCCTCAAACCTAAATGAAGCTGAGCTAAATTCAAATCGCCTGTTTTATCGCCCGAGTAATACCTTCTTTCTCTGCTGCATGGCGAACGCAGAGTAGCAAAATTTGCATGGTCAAGTGGGAGAGTTGAGCCCCGCCAAGTAAAATAAGACATAATTGAATCGTATGAATCGAATCTAATTGAATTGAATTGAAGTGAAGTGAATTGAATTGATGAATATGGTGGGAGGAGAGTCGGGCCGTGAGGGTTTCTATTTTGTTAGCAATATTCAAGTATGTGCTTTGTTTATCGATACAAATAAGTACTCTATTACTCGAAAGCAAACATTTCTAGTTCTCTAATTTTCCACACCGCGCTCTCGTTGGTACTCAACTATGTACAGTAAATGGATGTGTTAGGGGTTCTGGAGAACAAGAAAACCTATGTACCTCTACCCCATACGTCATTTTTAGTTGTTGTTTTTTTTTACAAAACATAAATGAAATTGAATGCATTAGCAGTAACAAGGCCTCCGATGGAGGGGCCCCCAGTATTGTTTAATGCAATTTTATTCAAGCATTGATGCGATGATGCAACAAGCGATGACGAATATTGAATGAAGACCCTTTCATAAAAGCTGAAATCAAAGGGAAATTTATTTTAGATAGTGGTCTATTTTGAAGACACGTTTGAGAAAACAACGACGTCTCACAGCCATTTTAATGATTATCTTTAATGTACTGCCACGTGGTGAAGGAATCCCTGAAAATTCGAGAGTAAAAAAGTCTGGACATAACTATTTTGTGAAAAGAAAATATTATCGCTAAGTTGCTGCAAGCTCTTGAATTTATTTTTTAACCCGTAGGCTTCTTTTACTTTTTCTGTATTTTTTAGCACTTTCTCCTATTCTTGGTCTAGTATATATCTCGCTTTCCTTTCACTAACATTAATAGATCTTCGACCAACCACGCGCGTTGATTATCGCGTGTGTAGAGGTCCAGTGAAAACAAAGTTATCTTCATAAAATATCTTCTTTCAACATTTGCTTTTTTGAAATGGATTAAATGATGAAAGAAGTTTCGTAGTAAGTCAAAATAAGTCTTGATGTAAAATGGATCACGAAATCCTACTTATGAATTTGAACGGCATCAGATACATACTTTTTACAACAGACTTAAGGTAACAAACCACAGGTTAGACGAGGGTGTTAGAGTCCATTTTATCACTTCAAAAGGAGTTAATTCTACTTTATTCCCTTTGCTGTAATTTCATCCTTATACCTTTATTTAGTGATCATAATCGTGCAATGAATGTTAATTACGGTGACGATTGTCAAAACAATGTTTAATACCGTCAATATCAAGTTTTTTTTACAAACAATACATTTTATATTCAATGCCACTTTCAGTTTATAAATGGAAATACTAGCACTTAATAAAATGTGAATCGGGTGAAACCCCAAATATTCATCAACTGCCGACGATGATATGACTTTTATTTTTATCTTATTTTATTAGGAATAACTTACATATTAATTTGAATCACCTTTACCAAAAAATGCCCGCAGCTTTTTCCTGAAACTCATTTTTGAAGTGTTTGTTTTACACTTTTGCGCAGATGGACGAATTTCGGCAGCTTCTGGGAGAGAACGGAAAACCAATCATGAAGAATTACAGACCTCCACAGCCTCTAAACGATCGAGAAATTGTCCAGATCAGAAGATAGAAATTTGACATCTGATAGTACAGTGCAGCATCTATCCCTAGTCTTGTGAACTAATGCTAAGGAAGCAGAGTTTTTCAAGATGGTTCAAAATAAAGTGCTTGAACCTGAATTTTAGAACCTAATACTAGGACTGTTCAATCGTACAATAGTACAATGTGATATCAGTCTAACTTAGGTTTACTGAAAAATCGATGCACCGTACATTATATTTTTGTTCGATTCAAGTACCGCTGGTATGTTTGGCGTATATTGTTAGACAAAACAATTTGAATAAAATGATCTACAGCGAAGAAAGAAGAACAGTGATTAATAGACTATAAGTAAGTCTCTAGGATAAATATTTATAATTTTAGTCTTCGTTTATTTAATATACATTTTTCTTAACACTAGAACTGTGATTTGAGATATGAGATTTGTTTTAAATCCAATTAATTTATTTAAAACTGGAAACACGAACTACTTTATAAAGAAACCAGAAGAGTCAAAGAAAGGAAAGTCTTATTAATAACGTCAATTATTCAATGTACTCATTAAGCATTGAATTCAATGTACATCACTATATTTCCTTTAAATAAAATTGTATTTAAAAATGAAAGGGTAATGAACATTTTACATATTTTCTGCAATATAATTGATACGAGATTATTTTATAGAGACTCTCGTATATTCAAAGAATACGTTGAATATCAATACTTCTACAATAATAGTATCAACAGTAGTTCATATATTTGTTGAGATTCTTAATGCTACATGAAGCCCCTAGCAAATAGTCAATTTCGAATTTTGGACAGCAAGCGTATGTACTGTGAAGAAATTAATTTTTTGTCTTTTACATTAACAACTATTTTTTCGTTTCCTTCATTATTCTGTTCTCTTCTCCAAATTTGTGGTAATCAGAAGCGACTCGTCCGGTCAATTAAGGCAGCGATGACTAGACAAAAGTTAAAATATTGTATTTTAACATTTAGAGGGATAATTTACAAAAAAATATATGCATATTTTAGAGAAAAGGTGCTTAGAACATACCTTAACAACGACTTGCATAGAATTATTTTCTTTTGAAAAATTTGGAGCTTTTTTAAGAAGTGTCGTTATAAGCGGCAAAATGCAAAATTTTGAAGCTCGTTTCCAGAAAATTGTGCATTTCTAAAAAAAACTTATGGAAATCATTTTAAGCATTTTCATTCACAAACTGTAATAACTATATACACAATCGACTCCAAATGTGTGTCTAACGCGTGAATATTTAAAAAAAGTATGTCATCTAAAGAAGTGGCATTTAGCACTATCCAGCAAACGTTTGAAGATAAAAATATGTTGAGAACATGTTTGAGTATAGGGAAAATAGGCGTTAAAGGTGTCTGATAATGTGAAGTTGGGAGCTCAATTTATAGAACACCTAATGAGTTCGAGAACTTCTATACGATAATTATTCACCTCCCATGCAATATAAATGCATTACTTAAGCGGAACACAAAGCACCGCTATGTACAATATTACGACATGAGAGACAATCGAGAGCTAGTCGGAGACTACAAAAGGCAGACTTTCTCGAATATACATGTTTAGCGAACGCGAACGCCCCCATCAATACTTCATTAATTTCAAACAGAAAGTTACGCGAAAATACTCAACTTTACAACGAAAAATTGCACACGACCGATTTAAATGAGCTAAATTTGTTTCAGCGACTGTATGAGGCAAAAATCTCCGTCTTCAATTTGTAGTTATACATTTTTGCAATTTTCAAAACAAACGAGCATGCCGACTAGCACTTATATTAACTTCTATCTACTGTTCATATACATATGTAAAGAACAATTAACAGAAATTTGGAGCGGTCTTTGAAAAAGTCGTAATTCAAGTGCAGAATCGTCAAAATATTTTTTTAAAAATTTTACATGGATTTTTCTAAGATAGAATTTGTACATGCATATCTGGGTCTGAGGCAAAAATTTTCATCTTCATGTTGTTGGTGTAATTTTTGTGGTATTTCGAAAAAATCGGGGATATCAACGAACTGGATTCCATCATTTCCTTAAACGTCCTCTTGATTATTTCAAACAAGCAAAATTTAATACAACAAATTTTAGCTTTTTTTATTTTGAAAATGTTTCGGGGTGCTTCATTAAGTAACCCCAAAATTAAAATTTCTGTTTCAAAAATTCAAGGGCCATGGAATCAGCCGAATGATTGGGGGAATATTCATTTGGAGAAAAACGGCTGAACGCGTTATGAAGCTAGCTTGTGCACAGACAAACGGACGGACAGCCTTTTTTGTTACAAATCGATTTTTCAGTTGAAAACACACAACAACCATGCAATTCTGGCTCACACTATGTGTTAGAAGAATTTGTTTTCTACTTTTAGCAACTGATTTCTCCACATGTTCTGAGACCGGGGCTCGTAAATAAGAAGAATTTGTGTCAAAAATCGGCGTCTTCCAGCGGCACGATTACATACTCTCGTCTTCTTGACTTTAGTAATGCGAGAAATAAAACTGGCAGTTTCTGCATCTTTATTTTCTAAAACGCGTTGCGAGTTTGAAAACGATCGTTTTTTTCCTGAGAAAGTTTCCAATCCGCGTTATAGAAAAGCCTTTCTAATATTTTTTGTGAAAATGATCAAAAGAGAAATTGGTTGTCCAATGGACGTTCTTTTACGAGTTTCGCTCACGCGATTAGCAGTGAAATTGCAGTTTGTTTGACCGCCCACTTGAGATAGAAGACGCATACATTTGCCCACTAACATGTAATAATGATATGAGTCTATTAATACTTACGTTGCCAAATATGATTAATTTTCACAGACGTAGGAACAAGCTGCTTCTTCGCAAGTAAGATACATGAGATTTTACACATATTTTGATTTAACATAATAAGTTTTCGCGTTTCTTTAGCAAGAAACCTGGCTCTTAATTTTACTGACGTACTCTTTCTCTACGTATCGACAACTTTGTATATTCATCAGATGTCCTCCACCGCCTTTCCTACGTTGTTTGCATATATTTTTATCACTATATTCAGGCATTGTACAAAAATGTGACAACATATACACCAGTAAACATGACTTTTTCAAGCAGTCAGTTCGCTTAATGCAAGTGATTCATTATCTACAATACATTAAATAGACTCTGGCACTTTAATCGCCGAATACGTCAAACGTATTGGCACTTACACCTGCTATCTATAATCACCCCATAACACTATGAAAATAGTGGTGCTACAGAACGGCACAGACTTTCTCGTATTAGTTTTCTATTTCCTTTGGTCTCAGCTAGCTATTCTGATTTGACAGATACTCTTGCCAGCTGTCATAAATCTCTGCACAAAGTATATTATTTTTTTAAATTTTCTCCATGTTTCGGTTTCCTAATAGAACGAAAATATTATTATAAAAGTATTTAAGAACAGTAAAACCTTACCCTAAATGACATTTTTTATGAAAATGGCTCTTAAGCACGACCGTAAATTCGAAATTAGAAGCTCCTTTTCACAGAATTTTTTTAAGTTTTCGTAGAACTTCATTAGTAATTTGAAGCACTTCAGTTCACAAATACAATAGTGTTTACCAAATGTTGAAAATGTACATATTAACGGCGTGAGAGATCTTATAAAAAATTCCATTTGGGTAATTTTTGAAAAAACAAAACAGTACCCTAAAATGAACTTTACGTCATATTAGAGAGTGCATTTAGTACTATCCGTTTCAAAAGTTTGAAAAAAACATTTGGAGCATTTTTCTGAAAAAATGACGTTTAAACGTATCTGAAAATACGCAATTTTGAGGCAGTTTTTACAGAAAAAGGTTAAGTTTTTGAGAAGCTTTATAACATTATTTAAAGCACATGTACTCATAAATACAATAATGTGAACAAATCACCGCTAATATAAATATTAACGATATGAGAGGCATGTAAAAAAATGCATTTTTGCAATTTTTGAAAAAACCAAAAGAATAGAGCAAGCTGATGTTAGCACTAACCCTACTTAAAGTTTAAAAAATTGGAGACTCGGTTTTTTTGAGAAAAGCTTGTTTTTGTTATTTTCTTTAAAATTGCCCATATTGCACACAATACTGCACGATAACTACTAACATTTTCAAAAAAATGTACATGATCTTAATGAAAGAATTAACTAAGAAAAACCAATTTTATTTTCATGAAAATTCTCTATCTTCAATTTTGTAATTGTAGGAAGACGACCGAAAAATTTCAAAAAATCCAGAGTTAACCCTGAAAATCAGACTTATGCCAGCTTTACAAGTGTATTTGCACAAAACATTTAAAGAAAAAATTGGAACCGCTTTAAAAAAACATTTAGTGTTCAGGGGGCTTCATGTAATCCTAATACTGAAAAAGTGTTGTTTTCTTTAATATGTGTTAATATTGAAAAAATGTCCGGCCGGCCGTCTGTGAAAAGTAACTTCAAATTTTGAATTCGTTTCAAAGAAAATTGCCATTTAGGATAAGATTTTACTGTTTTTTAATTTTCTTTAAATGATATTTCTGTTCTATCATTACGGAAATTAAAAAAAAAAAAATATTGGGGCGATAGATGACAACTGGTAAGAGTATGAAGCAAGTCCCAGTCCCAGTAACGAGACCAAAGGAAATGGAAAACTAATACGGGAAAGTCTGTGCCATTCATTACTAGTTCTGTAACACTTCTAGTTTACAACACTGTAACATTACTAGTTTAAAAATATTAATACTTTTGACATAATTATGTTCACAATTTTTGGTTTTATGATCCCATTTTTTCGAATCTGAACTACACATTCAATATTGAAGAAAGAGAATTCACTATTAATGTAATCTTTTTAACAGTGTTACATATTTAAATAATTTATATACATTACTTTCAAAATATTAATCGTTTTTGCGTAATTTTAAATTATTTTCCATTTTGTTCGAACTTGTTAAGCATATTCAGTATTCGACCTTAACATTCTTATCTGCAGGTTTTGTGTTATGATCTTCATTAATTAATGAAGATCAATTTAATTCAAATAGAATTAACGATCATTAAGTAAATTAATAATCTATACATTGTTTCATTTTCATTTTCTTTCGAAATGTGAGACGTTTCCGCGATGCATTTTGTAAAGTGTGAAATCAATGGATTTCACACAATACTATACTTACGTACTACGTATATTCGAAATCATAAGATTCCCAGTGCCTAATACTAGATTTGTGAATTAACAAGTACGTATTTGAAATGGCATTTATTTATTTATGCATTTATTTAGGCATTTATTTAGGCTCTTTTCAACATTTAAATCAGCAATCTGAACTTGTAATCGTCTGCAGGTTGTCTGTACAGCTTTGTGCTCTTGGCAACCTTATGATGACATCGTTCACTTTGCTAATATTAAGTTTCACCGTTATCATCGAATGTTTCCTTGAATTGTTGCGAAGTAAACGTGGCTGCACCGCTCTCAGTTTGTCTAAAAAAGTACAGGATTTTGTAATCCAAGCTGGGGACTTACGATGCATGCTACATACTTATTTCACTACTTTGGTTCAATCCACTCAAACTTTTCACCAAGGAAAAACATTCTACCCATATTGTAGAGCCTCGCGGATGTCTTGGATGTGTGGGTGTGTTGATAGAGTCACCCTACCATATCTTTTGTGAACCTCTCCGATTTATTCATGGAAACCACTACCACTGTAAGTTAGGAGTGGCCATTGCTCATGCATTTGGATACACACAAAAACAATTCACATGTAAAAAAAATTTAAAAAAAAGGTTCCATCAATACAAGTTGCAATGGCGTGTTCTACCCGGAAACAAATTGAGAAATTTGGGATGACAATACTAGAAATTACGAGTATAAGCTATTCTGTACACCTTTAATTCAAACCGCCTTACTGGCTTTTTTTATTTTATTCAATTATGCAAATTACTCAATGATAAGTCAATGTCAGTAGTACCTGATGTAGTCGAATGAATTTTATTTTCTTTGTTGCATTCACATGTTTATCTGAATTCTTGAGTATCGTGTTACTCAAGAGTTTAGCACTAGAGTTTATTCCAGAGTTTAGATGTGGATATAGACTTTCAATTTAATCCGTTCTTCATAGAAACACTAGCTTTCAAGGAGGTAGATACACAGACAGGCCTTATCACGTAGTTTCAGTAGACGGAAATAACTTAGCTGATTACATAGATGATAAAGTCGACGCAGGTGCCTGGAACAGAAGATGGGTTCATTATTCACTAATTAAAGATGTTGTCATTGCCAACAATATTTTTTAATGCAATAGCAGCTTTCGATGGCTCAGCCATCATCATCAGTTGTCTGCTAGATGGAAGCCACAAAACGACTACGAATGTACATCGACATCGAAAGCTGCTATTGCATTAAAAAATATTGTTGGCAATGACAACATATTTAATTATTTTAAAAATGCCAAAGATATCTTACCACAAAACCTATATCATTATTCTCTTCCATACTCAACGTTTGCGGTTCAGCTGCAATAAGATGTCGGTATGTTGTGAGAATCCGCCTGTAAATCATGTCCACTTTTATGCTAATCGTAAAAGTCAAGATTTTAATAATCGATAATCATACTTTAAATATTCGATTTAATGATTGTCTTTGCACTATTTGGATACATAGCCGGACAGATGGCCGAGATCGTTAGGGTAAAGCCACTGCTTGACTCCGGGGTGTAGGCGAAGATTGTGGCTGGGTAGTGCGGGTGCATGAAATAGTATAATAGGGATGGTCCAACGAGCTAGAATATACTAGATAGAGTGGCTGTCCCTATAGTTTCAGCGCTCTTGGTGGTGGCCCGCCGAATTAGTGGCCGCCATATTTTGTGAAGTCAAGATACAATCTCTAACTCGCTGGTCAAAACATACGAGTGGCGGTATAACCGTCCGTAACCAGCACAAAACGTAATGCTATACTGCGATTTTCGCAACTCTGCCCCTGGCAGGTATCAGCTGTTGACAGCTTCATCCAATCAGGAACTTTAACGTCACCATAGTGACGTCACAATTGTGAGGTTCAAGCTGCCGATTGGAAGAAACAGTGAAGAGCTCAGACCTGCCATGTGCAGAGTTGCATAAATCGCAGTATAGAATACTTTGTTTCCCAGAGTGCGCTGCTTTGACGGCAAAAAACATGACTTCAATTTGCTTCAAAGATGGAGACGCTTCAGCCACCCTATGTACTAAATTCTAGCTCGTTGGTATAGGTACATGAAATACCCAAGGAATAGCCACAAAACAAAAGGTATTCAAAGAGAGATATACGTGTGATTTGGTTATTATAGCCTTTACCGAAACTAAGAGAAAAGGAAAGGGATCAGAAAAAAAGAAGAGTATGCACATATTTATAGTGGAGTAAACAAGGACGAAAAGGCAAAGAGTGGAGTCCATAGCACTAAAGAGAAAATATAGGAAATTTATCAAATCTTGGGAATGTCTCAGTGGTCGCATACTCAAGGTACAAAATTAATAAAATTAAAAATCACGCAGTTGTAATAATAGTAGTTTATGCTCGTAATGATGACGTGACCTGTTGACAAAAAAAATACCTTTTATAAATAGTTGACACACTTACTGGAAAAAAATCAGTAAGCGCAAAGAAATTATTTTATTGGAAAACCTAAATAGAAGAACAGGAAAAGCAGTAAATGATCCAATATTTGGAAGATTTGGGAAAAATTAAATAAAAATGGAAGTAAGAATTAAATGTGTCAACAAAATTCTTTAAAAATAATAAACGGTAAGTACGCTCAGAAAGATGTGCATAGGTATACGTGGACACAACCAACAAAGTTAAAGTCAGTAATTGATTATATAATAGTAAGACAGAATGCTCAGATAATAGTTCAAGATGTGAGAGTGATGAGAGGATCACAATGCGGATCAGATCACAATCTATCGATCACAGAGATATTTTTCCTATTTATAAAATACATAGGATTGACTGCAGGAGATATTGAAAATGAAAATAAAAATCAATACAAGATAGAGGATGTTAGGAAGCTTCAAGATTAATCCATAAAGGTTTTTTTTACAAACTTAGACTAGCGAACAAAATCAGTAAAATACAAGAAAGTCCAGCAAATCAACTTTACATATACATAAAAAAATATATACAGGAAGCGGCTAGTGAAGCTATTGGGGAAATGCCCCAGACTCGTACATAAAGGAAAACAGAATCGTGGTGGAATGAAACTAAACAAAAATGAGTTGAAGAAAAGAAGATTTTATACAAAGGTGGAATGTAACGATTGTTCCGGAGGACAGGAATAAATATTGTAAGAATATAAAAGAAACTCAAAAGTTTCTTATGCTGTATCAAAGAGAACGAGAAATCTTCAAAACGTATGACGAATTAGTACATAATATACTTAGTTGTTATGTTTTCAAAAGAAACCAATAAAAACAATTTATACAAAACTTTAACAAACATGAACCAAACAATAATAAGTTACCCCATCAATTTATATATTTAATTCTTTATCATAAGAAGATGAAGATATGAATTGATAGAATATGGTTAAAGATATTTTTCAGTATGTACACCTTTCTTTCTAAGCATATTTACATTTTTATTTGTATGTGTAGAATACTTTAAATCGTTTAAAATGTGCGGTTTTACTGTATCTGCAATGGTCACGGAATAAGTAAGTAGTCGATGGTGGTACTATTTCATAACAGGCTGTCCAAAAACGTTCTTTGATTGTGCTGCACTCTGTGAGCGTAATGGTGTTGAAATGGTCTTTGACATCTTGCGTGGTTGCTTACTCGCTCGCTCGCTCGAAAGCTTGGTTGGTTGGTTGCTTGCTTAAGATATACTCTTTGGGTTGCTTATGCTATGCTGGCTGGTGCTGGACTGCTGGCCTATGGCCAGTAATTGCATACGTGGTTTCTGTCACACGCACTGCAGTTTCTTGTTATATTGTATTTGTATTCATCGTTACCTGAAGATGGTGCAACACAGTTTACAAATGCAGTAAATGGAAAATGGATGTTGTAATTGTGAAGGAAGTGGCCTTTCTTGAACGTTGCTCCTCGTGCTGATACGTAATTGGACCGGCAGGTGTGTCTAGTGATAATGGCGAAGTGTTGAAAACTAGAAGAGTACATTTTTATATCTGAGAATCGTGCAGGATAGCAGTCATCATGTCGTCGTCCGCTGTGTACATACTGGACGTGAAAGGGAAAGTGCTTATTTCTAGAAATTACCGGGGTGATATTGATATGGGGGTTATAGAAAAGTTCATGGCCCTTCTCATGGAGAAAGAGGAGGAAGGAATGTTAACTCCAATACTGCAGACGACTGAATGTACATTTGCTTACATTAAATACAACAATTTATATATCGTATCAACCTCAAAGAAGAATGCAAACATAGCATTGGTATTTGTTTTTCTTCATAAAATAGTTCAAGTAATGATTGAGTATTTCAAAGAGTTGGAAGAGGAAAGTATTAGAGATAATTTTGTTATAATTTATGAATTATTGGACGAGCTTCTTGATTTTGGTTATCCTCAAACTACTGATAGTAAGATTCTTCAGGAGTATATAACCCAGGAAGGTCATAAGCTTGAAATACAGCCAAGGATACCTATGGCTGTGACTAATGCAGTTTCTTGGAGATCAGAGGGCATTAAATATAGGAAAAATGAAGTATTTTTAGATGTAATAGAATCTGTTAATTTGTTGGCAAATGCTAATGGCAATGTTCTTAGAAGTGAAATTGTGGGTGCTATTAAAATGAGAGTGTATCTGTCAGGTATGCCAGAATTGCGGTTAGGTCTTAATGATAAAGTACTCTTTGAAAGTACTGGTAGAGGAAAATCAAAATCAGTGGAGCTAGAAGATGTCAAATTTCATCAGTGTGTTAGATTGTCCAGATTTGAAAATGATCGTACAATTTCATTTATACCACCTGATGGTGAATTTGAATTAATGTCATACCGTCTTAATACACATGTAAAACCTCTCATTTGGATTGAATCAGTTATTGAGCGGCATGCTCATAGCAGGGTAGAGTATATGATAAAGGCAAAATCACAATTTAAACGTAGATCAACAGCCAATAATGTGGAAATTGTTATACCTGTACCTGCTGATGCTGATTCTCCAAAGTTTAAAACCACTATTGGCAGTGTGAAGTATGCTCCTGAACAAAATGCTATTACATGGACAATAAAATCCTTTCCAGGTGGAAAGGAATATTTAATGCGTGCCCACTTTGGCTTGCCTAGTGTAGAGGGTGAAGATATAGAAGGGAAGCCTCCTATACAAGTAAAATTTGAAATTCCTTATTTCACAACCTCTGGAATTCAGGTAAGATATTTGAAAATCATTGAGAAAAGTGGGTATCAAGCTTTACCATGGGTGAGATACATAACACAAAATGGTGATTATCAACTTCGTACCAGCTAAAATGTGTGTTGCAGATGGCAAAAAATCAGTATCACAAATCAATGGCAATTGGGCATATTTTATCTTGTTATGAACAACTGTAAATAATTCTTAAGATATACTAACAGTTTTATTTTTTGCTTTCATTATGCCTAGACTAGGTTGTTATTGTATTTTTGGACTAAACAGTATTACAATTCCAAACTGATTAATGAATGCTGTTAATTGCTATTATTCTCTTATTGCTTATTAAGTGAATATAAGATTGAATTGATTATTGTAAATATTGCCTGATCTTTGATTTTAACATTGTGAATAAATTACGTTTATCATTGTTTGCCTTTGTATTATGATGAAAGAACAAATTTTCAATAGAAATAAAACTTTATACTAGATCAGTGATTTTCTTTATGACTTTACATTTTTTTTTTAATTGGCTTCATTGTAACATTTGTGTGCTACTAAAGTTAATACAAAGCATATAGATAATTTGATTTTGAAGTTATTGAAACTAGAGTGATTTTCGTATTCTCCAAATCTGGGGAATTCCTATGTAATAAACACTTCAAAAAGGAAGTGTATAGTTAGATATTTATTACTCAAAGATCTAACGAATACAACATCAAATAGTTGAATAATAATCATGTATTGAAATGTAGATATTAGCATTCATTCTGTAAATCAGGTTGGTGTAGTAGCTTTCCAACCTTAACCACAAAATACTGTAGTAAATTGGTGTTTCTATGAAGTTATTGAACTAACAGTGTTGCCAGTGGAAGATGTCTTCCAAATTTCCTTTTAATCTACAATTTTATTAAAAAGAACTGGTATTTGTGTAATAGGCTCTTAAAGAAATATTTTTTGGGTTGAATGAAATATCACAAATATGAAATCTTACAAAACAAGGTGCACAATAGATATTTTTTTGTAATTTATTTGTTTGAGAATGTTTTTGCAGGAAACATTACATTAACAATACACATTATAAGCTATATATTTCTTTGATACATAAGAATAGGAATTACACAAATGTTTCTATTCACAATTTTGTTGTTCGCAAAAAGTATCACATTTTCAATTCTCCATAATTAATATTATTCTTAAATTGAAAAGTAATACCTCAGCAGCAGTATACCATACAATATTTACTCCTATAGCATTTCTATAAGCTTCTACATAAGAGGCAAGCTTGTTTCACAACCAAAACATCACATTTTTATCCATTAAACTCCATTACACAGATAAATGTTGGATAAAGGACAGTCACATTCATTTACATATGGTTTGGTCCATTAAAACATACAGTTTAATATGCACAATAGCTTCAACAAGGAAAGATATGTCTCTGTAGAGCACAGGTAATTGTTTACATTTAATTTACTTACATGCCTAACACGTGAAATAATACACACTGCTGAATATGATCCTTGTTAAGTATTGGTACGAATCATGTTCCATGTTCATTTTATAGAAAATAAATAATTGTTTACTTGCATTTTGTGAAACTTATGAGAAAACTGGTGAAGAAATTACTCTCTGTGAAGGATTGTAACTAAAAAATTAATACTTGACAAACTTTCATTAATGGATAAAATCTTCAATCACGTTTCTTTCCTTTTTGCCTGTATAAAAAAAAAGTAAAAACAAGTATGAACTAAATTAATTATTGACAAAAAGGAATATCTTAACTACTCATGCAGAAAACATTTTTCTTCAGGATATCCAAATGTTTGAAGCATATTTTCAACCAAACATTTTTTTGTATGAAAATCTAAGATTGTGTTGTGCAGGAAAATATTTAGAAAAATACTTAAATGCTCGATTTACAGTAGTATCAATGACAAGGAGCAAAGTGAAATTTGATTGCGAGTATATTCTAAAATCATAGGTTTTACCAGGGGCGGATCCAGAGGCATATTGAGAGGGTGATTGTTATATATAATTATGAATTGTGTTCAGAAATATATTTATATAATACACAGTGGTGTAGCTTCAGTTGCTGTCATCTGGGGCAAAACTTGATGGTATCACCCCTACTCACATAAATTAAATATAAAAATATGTTACTGAATAGTTTATACAGTACTTAATATAAAGTAAGTTTTATTTGCACATGACATTAGTTAGTATTTAATTTAACACAAAAAAATTTCTCTAATTCAAAGTAACTGAAATATAATTTTAAATCTAAAACAGTTTAACTAATTAATAATTGCATGTTTTTTAAAAACACTTTCTGAAATTTAAGGGTGGCAAACTTGTGTGTAATTTCATCAAAATCTAAGCTTACTGCATCTAATTTTGTTAGTATTACCTCCATTTCCATGAACAGTTCACCCATCAAGAGAAAAGTAGCCACTGAATATATAATTTTTAATTAAATCTTTGAAATTATATAATTCCAACTATGAAATTTTGTAATTGGTGTCACAACTATGCCACTGACGATTATCTAAAAAAAACTTTTGCTTTAAAGATTCGGGACAACTTAAAATCAATAGTTACTAACAATTTGGGGGGGTGGAGAATTTCCTCCCCTGTGGATCCGCATCTGGTTTTACAAAATATTTATATTTGAATGTATCAAAAAGTACTGAGAATTTGGTCACAAAATTTATTACATCTGATGACTAATTATAGAAAAGAAACTTCATCAGAAAAATTCTCATTGCATGGTATTCTGATGTCTGCAAGAGAGATGAAAAACTTGTTGATATACATTTTAGTATGAAAAAACAACCCAAGTATAGGAGTATCTACTAAAATACAAATAATCCATCCTCAAAAATCTTAGGCATTAAGTGAATGTCAATTGTTCAGAGTAAAAAGCTGCAAAAGTTCTAATTTGTTGACATAAAAATTCTCCCTTTCTTTTTGGCATAGTAAAAATTTACAATATTGCCTTGAATATTAGTGGTGAAAATAGCATCTCATTCAATAAATATTTCTCTCAAAATGTTTTTTTTTTTGCAAACTGACCTACATAGCGATTGAAGCTCATCGACCTGCAATGAATTTGAAAGTAATAAATGCTCTAATCAAGCTTTGCAGCACAAACATCACATTCAAGGATTGGTACATCAGATAAGTCTCCTAATGTGTTCCAAATTCAGGTACATATAACAATTATGCATTCAACACAAGTTTTCCTGTAAATAACTGAATATACAACAAATAACATTTGGAAGATTTTTCTTGCAGAAACTTGCAAAGGGTCTAGTAACATCAGATGTATTTTTGTTATGTTCCAAGTTTCTGCACCCTAGGCCTAGTAAGAACACAATTACTCTGGAAATTTGTCATTGTTTTGAGCATGACTCCATAAACAAATCAAGTTTCCCATATCAATTCCAAAGTCAAATATCTTTCAATATAATGATTTATTAGAAATAATGTGTAAACTCAATAATTAATGTTTCTCCCACTGCCAAGGAATGTGCAATGTTTTTGGCTTTTATATTACATATAAACAATCCATAGAAATGTTACTGTTACAAAGATATTGTTACCAGTTTAGAATTTGTGTTATTTAAAGATCTAACCTTTTCTACAGAATAATTTCCTTTTTGTCAGAAGTATAAAATTAATGTTTTTACATAACTTCAAATAATGACAAATGTTCTAATTTACCAAGTTTATATATAAAGTTGAATAATAGACTTTTTTCTAAATATTGTGAAATCAGAAATTTCCCTTCAATGTATGTTCATTAAGAGAGTTGGATTCTATCCAATATTTCAAGAAAGAAAGAAATAATTATTGATCAGCTCAGTAATGAAAATCTCAGCTTTGGAGACTATCTTGTATTAAATGCCAAATGTGTATTTCAGATTACCTCCAAGGATGTCAGTCACATATTATATATACAGCACAGATTTATCTTTGAAAAGCTACTTTTTGTATCCAAAATTACTTCTACATGTTTGAAGAAAAAGAATGAAGATGTAGGATTAGCATACACTTAGGAAATGACTAGCATTTGTTGTGCGGGAATTGTTTGCCACTATTTTGATTATATAAACAGCTTTATGGGATGTAGAATTTGAATAAGTTCAAAAGCAGGTGCAAATGCTCACAGAAGGCATGTGTTCATTTTGCAGAGATATGATACAATTCAAAATAAAAGTACTTATATATAAAAAAAATTAATATCAATATCACAAATAAAAACAGATACAACTCCGGGGTACATTTGCTTACAAATGAAAGTAAGCAAAACTGACCAAATCTGTTCCAACGTTCACCATTAATAGGCGTTTTGTTTGTAATATACCATCATCCAATACACGTTTTTTAATTACACATCAAACGGATGATACAATATCAATATCTTGCAATACTTTTTTATTTTATTCTATCCATGATCTCGGAGCCACTGATTTGCATTTTAATTATAAGTATAATGGTAACTATATGGAATGTTCCAGAATTCTTGCTCGTCTTCCTGTTGCATCTCAATCCAATTTCCTGCCTCTAAACCATTATACTACCATTCAGGTGGAAAGTTAAAGAACCTCTTGAAAAAGCTGTTGAAATGCCTTCTCAGAAAAACTCATCAGGCAGTCATCAGTCTTGTAAGATTCTAGTTTAAGCACATTGTATACCTGACAGTGACTTTTAGGCCAACACTGCATTTTATTGACTAATTTTGATGGCTTTTATAATAAAAGAAAATAGTTATAACATTAGATGCATATATCTGTCTTAGAATATTCTTTATGCATTTAAAAATGTCAATTCCGAAACCAGAGCTAAGTGACCTTCACGCCATGAGATTGTGGACTAACTTATATGAGGCAATCACTTATATAAAGCAGTGGGTTCTGAGTATGTGGTTAATCTTTTTTGAGAATCAAGGTGAAACAGCCTTTTGGGGAAAAAAAGAAATTTATAAATTTTCAACTTTGCAGACCGAATTACACAACATGAATTGCTTAGCTCAGCCACTCAATGTTCTTTTTCTCTCAATTCTACGAGAAATACTAAAAGGATTCACTGTAACTGATATTCAAAATCTTCATAATATTTGAAAGAAAAACAGGTCTTGGAAATGTACACAACAAAAATTGGACTCCTGTTTTGAGGATTGTGTTTCACATTAAAATAAGACTTATATTTCAATATGGACAATTCAATAATGTGAATATTCTTGGTTTCCTAATTAAGTTTATCAACACAAAAATATTTTTAGTGTTGACCAGCAGCATCCTAGTCACTTATACAATATGCATTAGAGCAATAATTCCTTGTGTAACATCATCAAGAGTGTAAATAAACAATAAGTTTTCTTACAGGGGAAACAGATGCCAAGAACACATAATTTCACAGTCAAATTAAAATCTGCAATCTAAGCTAATATTCTATGTTAAATTGTGTTCTGAACTATCAATTTAATTTCCATTCTTTCACTTCAGAGAATTAGATAATACAGACATACTTCTAAACTATGATAGCATTTTAATGAATGTTATATAAGGAATTAATGCTCAGAAAATATTTCCTTCTCTCTGGTCTTCGTTATCACTCTCTTTTAACTCATTAATTAAACAATGTATATCAAATAATAAAGCATAAAATTCTAATTAATTACATGAAAATACAACTTTTGACATGTACAATTTTTAGAAATTCACATGTATATTAAATAAAATGTTTTTTTCTTCTGCAACATTATTAATATTGCATGTTATAGGATATCAATTAATGATGATCAATCCATTTTTTGGATGAACAAATTTTATACATATTAAGCAAGTGCATTAACACTTGCACACACAAGCAATATCACATATCACAGTGAAATAAATTACTTACATATTAGAGAACAGATGCCACAGAAACTTTTGCATCACTCTTGCACAACACATTAAACCCTTATGAAAATAATTGACATTTAAAAAGAATTCAAAAAATAATAATACACAGAAATGTCCTACATCATTCGATTGTTCTTCAATGAGATCACAAAATGAGTGAAATGGTAAGACCACTATTTAACAGTATGTATAATTGTAAATTAACTCTTTATGCGAGCCAACATGTATACAGAGCAATAAGAAAGAAATTTAAGATCTCAACTGCCATTAGAATAGTAATATTTTCACTCCCTTTGAAATACGAATTCACATTTAAAATTAACACAATATAAACTGAAAATATAATGAGCTTCATTTACACGGCAAAAAATTAGATTTAAGGAACTAATTTATCAAAGACTGCAACAATCTGCTCAGTGATCCATTTGAAATACATTATTCAAAAGAATTTCCCAAGATATAGATATTCTAAACCAAAATAATTATATTTCAATTTATTTCATAATGGAATGCTTTGCATTTAAAATTTCTTTTGACTGTCAACTAGCGGAAATACCATTTCCAAACTGAGAAGTCGTAACTGTACATTTGAAACCGATTTCACTAAAGAAGGATGATACTAATATTATAATCATATACTCATTCAGCATACCTATGTTTATCAGATCAATAATTTAATTTCAACAATTAAGATAACAGCAACTCTTATTTTAACAGTCAACATTGCATAACTTCATGACAACAAAAATATCTCATAATAATTCTGATTCACAACCTTGAAACCATTGTAAATCAGAATTCTCATAAATTTATTTTTGAAATTAAATCAACAAAGGAAATGAAGTGATGCAGTGAATAGCAATACAAGCAACCTCCCAAACTAGTTTACCACAAATCAGAGAGAAAGACAAGTTACAACACTGCCATAAATTTCAGCACATTGAATCCACTCTGCTCCCTGGCTTTATGGAATAGCTTCCAAGCAATCCCTGATGTGGGTCCAAGTCTGTAAACCCTGCAATCAAATTTACCTTGTGAGAAAATAACTTTACTTTAAAAGAAACACCAAAGTGTAGCAAGAAGTAAGTTCATGATATTAACCACTGGGGATGGGAAAAGAGCATGGGAACCAATCAGGCATCTGCACAGCAAACATTTTGTACTTATAATCAATTTTTCAACACACTTACCACAGTAATTGCATCACTTACAAAGGTGAATTCCCTTTATGAATCCACTTTTTTTTTTTATTTCAGTCTACAATATTTTTAATTAAACAATTTTTTTATGGGGAATCTTAAATTCAAGCAATTTTTTAGTTTTTCAAAAATATTTATAGTATTATTATATTTTTATTAACTTGAATAAGTCAGAAAACATACCTTGCGACACATTTTCACCTGTAATACAACATAACCAGCCAGGGTTTCACGAAGATCAATAACCTTTTGATGCTGGAATCGTTCAATATCAATTAAGGCATTAGCAGCGAAATCACTGGAAACAGCAAATAAATAATCAGATATGTTAATGTGTAAATATTCAAAATTGACAAAAATTTCACTTTAAAATCATACTTTAACTCTTCCTGAGCATTTCTAATACTGCTTTTCCCTTCTTGAATTCTCTGGTCCAGTAAATTCACTTTCAATTCACGAACTTCATCAGTGTCAGCTGACCCAAATAATCTTGTCATCAACCCTGTTTTGCCTAAAAAATGGAAAAAGAAGAAATTATAAGTCTTTGAGAACAACTGCCTGCAACACATGCAAATAAGCTAACTAGTAAATTAAAAATGAACACATTCAACATTTACTTCTTTATTTCCATGCAAACTTTTTTTTAAAACAAGTTTTAAAGCATCGCCCAAATTAACTGTAATTGCAAATACATTGAATGGAATCAGGAAACTAATTACATTTAGAAAATCACTAATCTGGCAAAATAAAGTTAGGTATATAAGCCCAAAACATTATATTATTTTGCAAAAAGGAGCTGCACAGGGTCAAGAATTCTCAAAAATACTTCAAAATGTTTTCAAAATTTAATAAGTTTAATATCACAGGTTTGCAGGAGAAAAACCATGCAAAAGCTCCAATATTCATTTTCAATACTAGCATCTATGACAACTTAACAACAAAGTTCTGGTTTCAATTCATCAAAGTTTCAGGCAAACTAATTTTTCATAGCTTCTGTTACATCATACGCAACCAACAAATTTCAGAGATGTCATAAACACATGATCTCATTAATAAAAAAACAAAAACAATGTTCTGCACAATGTACTATTGATAACCAAATGCTAACTACAATATGCACCAACCAGATGCATAACTGGCATGCCATTAAATCACACATATTACCATTAAAACTAATTACAAAGAAGAGAAATGCTCAAGATATGGGTTTTTTCAAGAAATATTTAAAAATCAAATTAACTTTGAGTCATTGAGGTGGCTGATGTACTGCAATATATGCAGAACTAATATAACAAGAATAAAATGCATATTGAAAAGAAGTGGCATTTTATATCATGTGCTTCATACAGAGTATGTGCAATAAAATCTAAATGCTCCCTACTTGAATTGATCATTAATTTTACAAGGAACAAAGGATTTAAGAATTTGATTAATATTATACAATGTAAAACGCTGAACTTAAATTGAATTATTTATAAAGCTCCTTTCATAATAAGCTACCATAATCGATTTCAACATCTCAAATAATTAAACAAATATGTCATAATTTATGGAATTTATTATAATAAAACTACAATTCTAGTGATGTTTCAAAATTTTGTTAATTTTAATTTGTAATAAGGATTTTTCCATTGCATTCCAATTCCTTGTTATTTTTAGCTAACATATGCCTGAAGATTTGTCTAAATCTGAGATCTGAAACATCACTGAATATGTTCATGACAATAAAGTCCAAAATTTAACATTAAAAAAAATTGGTTAATTATTTGAGTATCTTAAAAATTAATTATGATTGTGCGTAATAAAAGATTGAACAATGTATAACATTCCTAACAAGACCATCAATAACGAAGTATTATTGTGAATCGAACCTAACTTCACAACGAACAATGAATCTATGTATTGTGTCAAATATTATACTAAATATCAACATACCAAGAATAAGAAATTTTTCTTCATAGAGGTTGTGCCAAAACTCTTTTTGATGTAATTCAAATACATTAGTCGTACATACATATAATGTAACTGCAATATTCGAAACTATTGTATTTTTTTCCTAATAATTTGTAATGGAAATTTAAATTCACAGTACAATTTATACTTTTCTTTCTGATTAACTAGAATTATAAAAATTAATTTTTAAATGGGATTGTGACTTTTTCAAATGGAAAGGAACCCTTTATGCTTTTGGAAAGAATTTGCTGTGGAATGAATAGATGTATTAAGGCTATTTTTGATAATATTATAAATGCATTACCCTAACTTTTATAGCCAATATGCTTTCAATAGTGCAGTTTATTCTTGAGCATTGAAGCTGCTAACATTTATATCATGCGAAATGTAATATTTGGTGCACAATTAAGACATGCCAACAAACGCTAAGCAACTTTATTTTGGAATTTACTTTGAGGCACATTTTAATATTGATTTGGTCAAAAATTCTATTGAAAACAATAGCTTCAGGCTTATGTTTTTAACTGTAGCCTACACAATATATGTTGTCCACCTTTCTGCACGTTGTCTTTTTCAGTGGTACGTGAAGCTACAGCGCTTTCTGCTCTTTCCAAATGATACTGTAACATTTCTTGGCGTCGACATACAGACTGTAATGCACCAGCAAAGAAAAGATACTCTTTCAACTGATCAGCAAAAAGTTCCTCTTCCTCAAGTGGAATGTCAATACCTGCAGCGTACGAATCAAGGTAATGACCTGCTTTCTGAAAAAGAGCGAGTCACATGAAAGTTGAGATAAAATGCTGGGATATTCATCTAATTATTTAAAATCATGCTAGTAATGTGCACTGAAGCATAAAAATAAGTAAATATGATATTGTTCAAGATTCTCACAAGGATGAGGATGCACATGAAATAACTCCAAACAAGGAAATGATAAAAACATTTACTAAATCAAACATGACAAACCTGCAAACCATCACCCATTTCTTTTTCCTTTGCACTCCATTCACTGAATATACGCCCGTAATTGGCATGTAATTTATGAATACCATATAAGCGTTCCACCATTCTGGCTCTAACACGCAATAAATTACTGAGATTGCTCTGAAGAATAAAATAATATATTATAATTATTTGAAGATGTCATTCCAAAATAAGTGACAAACAATAAATATTTTTTTGGCAAAAAATTGAATATAAATATGATAGAACATTAAAATAGTTTATGAGTAAGTAAATGGTAAGTGGCTCTTACCTGCAACTCATTGCCATAGTTCTTTATTGCTTCAAATCTCTTATCTGGCTGTTTTAATCTGACAGAAACACTAAGAGCTTTCAACTTTGATTCTGCTAATTGCAGATATCCTACAATAAGTAATAAAACACCATGACTGTCCATTTTACCAATATTTTAAAACCAATAAAAATATAACAAACTAATATTCATAATTGTACCTGTTTCTTTGATACTTTCTCGCCAACCTTCTTCTTGTTGTAAAAATCCAATGAATAAGTGGTCATGTGATATAACAGGATGAGATGCAACACGGAGTAAAAAGTTCTAGGAAATACAAACCAAATCATTGTTCCAAAAATATGGACATGAATTGATACCTTTCAAATTACATTAAATGTATTTAAAAAATAATACAGTACTGGGGTTACTATCATGAAATAACTAAGAAACCTTTTCAACAAATTTATTTTGGGCATTATAACCTAGCTTGTTTCAAGCTGGATCTTTTCTTTATTCCCTTTAAAACAAAGATTGTTGCTAAATGTTTGAATTACACAAGTGTATATACAAAATATAGTATACCTCTAAACCTGCTCTTCGACGATCAACGAAGTCTGGATCAAATGTATCTGAAGCAACCTTCTGCCATGTATACATCACTTTCTTTTCAGGCAAAGGTGGTAATACAACATATGGATATGTTACTTCCAAGTAAGTCCTCAGAAGTTCAAACTCACTATAGCGTCGCCACAATGCACTTATTTTACTAAATGCTCCATTAAATTCAGGGTCTGTGACTCTATAACAAAAATTAAAAAAATATTAACCTGTAATAACATCAGAAAATAAAGAAGACAAATTTATTTGGTGCTTACTTTGTTTCTATAAGATAAACTGTGTAGAAATCTCTAATGTTCAATGCTCCATTTTCTCTCTTCTCAGCTTCTATTACATTAATCTCCATATGATCTAGAAGGGAATCCTGTAACACAGCCAAATGTAGTATGTATGAGTAATAATGCAACAGATCTGTGATTTGTCATCCTCTCAAATCTAAGTGAGTAGAAAATCCTTTTTTTTCACTTCTGTTAAGTTGGGGGAACGCCCAAACGTTTCACATTGTGTATAGATGTATGATTTTATACAGAATGTAACTGACAAACACATGAAATCCTACAATATTTGCAAATAATGTTCATTTAAAATAAGTAATGGTCAGATACGAAAGGAAAAGCTGACGTTTGAAGAGCCAATCGTGGAAAATGACCGATAATTATTTCATCTAAATTTATGGAAGTTGTCCCATATCGGACATCAAAACGAAAAAAATACACGACACTTACCTTTTTCTCATAAACTCGAGATTCAAAATTCGCATTTCCTTTTTCTAGAAATCCTTCCTTCATTTTATTATCCTCCATCACTTCCAGACTGAGGTGCCTCCCAATAGGTGTCACAAGTTGGCGAGTAGAGGCTACCACAACACGCAGCTGTCACGTATCCTAAAAAGAATTCATGTGACAGCAATAGCCCCGACTTTAAAATCCCAATAGAACCTGTGATGGACAAAGAAGGCGGGAAGATTCAAATCTATTTCTTATCAGCATAGATAAGGTTCACTGAAGTTGGCATTTTCATTCAAATAATGGAATCAGCACATGATGTTGGTGTCTGTAAATCTGTATGAATCATCAAATATTTTTTTCTTTGAGCAGGATCTGTTCTGCCCAAAATCAGAGACCTGCTATTATGATAAAAAGCGACGTATGGGTTTACGCAACAAAAAGGGGGAAAATAGTTAATGTCCAATTAACATGACAGTTCTATAATTAAGCTTATATGTTAATTACAGTCTAAAGAATATAGTCTCAATAATAAATCGATTTATTTCATTTACACCCTGAATTGTTTATATATTGGTATCCAATTCAAGTAATACAATAAAGAAACTATTTCATCTCGTACATCAATGAGCTTCATGCTGCATTTTCTTCACACAGTATGGCCGCTTCCGGTATTACGTTGAATTTGACAGGCGAGGTAATGCTCGTATTTTATCAGTTTTTCGCGTAAAATAGTTAATCTTTTGTAATTCTTCTTTGTCGTGAACAGACTTATTGCGTTCGCTACAAGATAGATAATTGGAACACTCATTGTTTGTTTAAATTTTAGGAATCATTAATGGGAAAGGTGAAGACTAATTTGTACAGTTCGGTGTTTCTTCCTGTCTCTTGTCAAGAGGTTGGTAAGTTTGGCGTATACTTTATCTTCGTTGCCATACACATGCAGTGAATTATGCATCTTTGCAAATAATATAATGGCAATAATTTGTCGTCTGCTTTGAGATCACATTCTTTAGATTTGTGTGGTAGGATCCATCATGAACACAAAGTAGGTATTTAACTATTGTCAATTTATTTATTGATATTCGAGTACCGGCATCCCTAAGCTGAAACACAAGAATCTTAAGGCTATAGCCACTGTTCAAATTGTTACATTCTCTGTTAATTCTGACACTTTGACAGTCGAGTGCAATGTGAAATACAATTTTAATTCTCAAAATAATACAATTAAAATAGCTTTTATGTTGCACATATTTTACATAGGTAGTACGTAAGAGATTTCTTATTGTGTTGTTTATTTTAAATAATATATCCAAAGCTAGTTTACATATATTTTTGGTAACCTATGTATTCATTTCCCTACAGTTTCTCGGTCTTATATTTTCTCACTTATCATAAATGTTTGTGTTTTTCATGTGTTGAGGATGTATTAGATGCATTATATTGCTGCAATAGGTATATAATATTATGAAGTGTTGAAGTTTGAAAAATATTAATATATTACAATTTATGTGTTCCCAAAACGCCTTGCGCTTCTGTAATCCAGAACTTTCATGAAATATTAGTTTTGCAAATGTTAACTATACTAGTTATATATTCCCAATGCTCTGACATACTCTATAATTAATTTATAATACATATGATTAGTACAATTTTAGTGATGATAGAGATAATCGCATATGATCATTTTTCAAAACTGATGAACAAAAATTGGAAATTTATTGTTTCATAGATTTACCATAATATTTTATAATAGTATTAAGTCAATAATCCAGATAATCTAGTTTATGACTTCAGTAACACATTTTTTTAAATTGAGATGTTCTGGGTTCATTTGAACAAATATTTGGTGGAAACAATGGTTCATTCAGTTTAATAAACAAATGCATTTTCTTCAATTGCGATGTCTATATCATAATTACTGAATTAACAGTCATAACTTGAATTAAAAACAAAATGGAATGTTTTTGTAAAAATATAATAGAAACCTGTAACAAAACTTAAGTAGATTTTGCGAAATACATAAAAATATTGTAATTAATCTCAATGAACTTTATTTTCATTCTCTTGACATTACATAAACTTCAAGTAAATGTACAAAGAAGCAAAACCTGAGTTTATTGACTTCGAAATGTTGCCATTCCAAAAATAAATTATATGACAGCTCACTTCATAGGGAACCTATCATCATGTTCCTTATCCCTTTTGGTATTAAATACTTCTGTAGTAGGTGTAATTGCGCAAAGTTAAAATCTTTATCACCGGTTGTGAAGAGATTAAGCCTGTTTGTTCTGCATTTTTCATTTCTTGAGAGGAATGAAAATCTTTGAAGTTGGCCGAGTTTTGCTACCAATTTGATTTCCTTTAATGCAAGGATTTTATGTTGGTCTTTTCTCGCTGACGTATACTGGTTTTGAGGGGGAAGGTTCAGCGCACTTTCCCTCGCGGCGTCTGAGATCGGGTCGGGGGAGGGGGACGTCAAGGTTGGAGATTTGTCAGAATGTCGACATCGCCAAAATTGCCAGCGATATTGTTATTTACTGGAAAATAAAAATCCGATTCGGGTAGAAATCGTGGAAATTGATTATTTTCAGGAAACAATTATTTTCAAAACAATTAAAATAAATTATCGCCATTGAAGCAATCAAAGTAAATGAACTTTCACGCGACAAAGCTGTTCTGAGAAAATCAAAGTCTTATTAACTATAGTTTTCAGTATTACAGGTTTTGCGATGGTCAGTGTGTTCTGTTCACCGTGTGATTATTCTATGTGAAAGTTACTCAAATGAATTCATAGTAAACGTGAATTCTTGTAAGCGACTTATTGACGATGTTTTTATTATCGAAGTGAGTGTGAATAAAATTATAGGGAAAGAAGTAATGCTACAACAGTACACGTATGTGTATTATTGGTAACGGTTACTCGATGTTACGCTGTGTTAGAGAAGTATTAATAAATACTAGTTCCCCAGTGGGATGCTGCCCTATGTTCGGGACAAACTCGAACCTCCCGACTCAATTCCCGACATGATATGCGCACGTTGTCTTGAGCCCCCGGAATGCATACTACCACTCCTTTGCTAACATCAGTTGAATTGAGTTAGCGACGAGCGGTGTTGACCAATTCTAAGTACCAGATATGTTGGCGCCTGTATGATAGGAAATGTTTTGTGTCGTAAACCGAGCTACGGATGTGGTACAATAGTCCTGTCGTCAAAATAACCAAATCCATCGTATTTAGCGAAATGAGGGCTCGTTAATGCACGTGATGATTCTAAAAATGGGCTTTTCGGACGAGGCCACATTTTCCCAGTCATTCACAGTCGAGTGTCGTACGATTTTATGCCCTTTTCATGTGCTACCGACGGTTGACGAGCAGACAGTCCAACCCAGTGCAATGTGTGGGTGCGGGCGAGTCTTTCATCCTTTTAAATGTTTAAATGTTCGGTGTGTAGTGAAACATTCCGAGGCAGCATTATAACTCTTGCGAGTTCTCTGTTGCTGCGCGGTCGCTCTGGACAATGCGCGACAGCCCTCCTGCTCCCGAGCGTCAAAGCGCTGTGATTGGCACGTGGATTGGCGTCTTGTCCTTTCCACGTCCTTGCACCAAGTCGGCGGTAATGCAATAGTGTGTGACGTTTCCAATTCAGCAGTACTCTATGAAACGTGTTGGACATGGCACGAGCGCACCTAATAAAATGAGCCGTTTCGGATATGCTGGTACCAAGACGCTGGGCCGTTTCATCTGCCGAACTCGGATAAATTACCCGCTTCTCCTATGACGCCGCAGACACTGTCGTGTGCCTGCGGCGCTGCCTTTATTCAGACGTCCCTTATTCCAGGTGATTTCACGGAAGGGTGATCACGGAAAATCGAAAAACCCCGATAATTGAATTAATTATAGTATATTGGTGTAAATGTGCCAATTAAAAAAGTTGATTAAGAATACATAAGAAACAATGTGTTTTGTGATTTACAACGTTGCAATGTACTTGTGCATTACTAATTAGTTTTTTAGCCCCATTCTGTCGCGTTCCTCGGTGAAAGGGGGGGGGGAGGCTAGATGCGATGTCTGTCTCAAGCCTGCGAAGGTGATGAAAAGGGCGGCGGACAGTTCACAAGGCGAGGGCATTAGATGATCTCCAGGTTGCGGTTTACAGTCATCTCTCTGTCATTTTTACTTTCTCGCTACGGAGTGGAGAGTAAGTATAATTCTAAGGGTAAGAGAGTAATGTATTGCTTCGCGGAAAAACTGCGAATTTTTCGTCAGAAAACTCTTATTGCAGGGCCCTGGTAACGGGAAAGTGGATAAATCCAATTGCTAAATTTAGGGGGTACATTCCTCTAATACGTCGTGTAGCCAGAATCCATTTTTTGTGGGTCTTTGATTCCAAAAAATCGAATGACTGTAATACGTCTGTCTATTCGTCTGTAAACAACGCTAGCGGCTGAACCGTTCAGCCTATTTTCTCCAAAATTTATATTTTCCGATCGATGTGCCTGATGCCGCGGCCCTTTGAATTTGAAAGCGATATTTTAATTTTGGGGGGGAATTTACATGTAGCCTCTGGCACAGTTTCAAAAAAACGGAGGAGTTTAAGAGAATGGTGCAGGTCTCATGTTCATTGGAAACTCTAATTTGTCGAAAATTGCAAAAATTTAAACATTTTTTGGCGTTTTCCTACAAATACAATTATGAAGGTAGAGATTATTTTCCTTAATGAAATCTGTTCTTTAAAGATATATTTTGAAATGAGGTCATGTACAATTTTTCGAACATTTGAATACTTTTCACGTAATTTTGCATGAAAGTACGGACGAGAAAGTACGTGCTGTTTTAGCACCACTAGTTTCAGTTGATTATATTAATCTTTGCATTTCGAAACAACTCGGATAATTGGATTCCTAAATAATAGAATGCTACACCACTAGCTTAGCGCAGGTTAAGCATATGAACGCTTAACCTCCTGCTCATATTTCCATGTTAACAAGTTTCATTAGTGATTTGCAAATAATGTACAATAAAAATAAATCTCAAACACGTTACATTTGCGAGGCTCATCCATTTTCGGGCATAGATAGTTACATGAAAGAAAACCGATTAAAATACTTGTTTACATTTTTGTTTCATTATCAAAATAGGTTTAATTAACGTCAATTGATGATTCAAGTATCGATTCAAGTAAATGTCGGAAAGGGAGTATAGTAATTTACAGCGTTTTACCGTTGTACTCATAGGTGCATTGTAACTATCACGTTTTTCGTAACTAACGCGTTTTTCTAGAATTTTTTCCCCTGAGTATCCTCAAAGGGGCCGGCTAAAAATTATGCCAATTGATTTGTCGAGAGGAAACGAAGTGTCGAGCTATTGATCACCTCTGTATCTGCCGTGAGTCACCCAAAAGGAATTGCTTAATGAAAAAAAAAAAAAGAAAAGAAAAATAAAACATAAACACGTTCTATTAGAGAAATTTATAGAATGTCCTGAATGGATCCTTAAAGAGGATTAGTTCCCCACGAGACCGAGACGCTTCGATGTATTAAGCAAATCCGGATTATCGCCAAAGTTGCTGAGCGAGGTGTTCCTCGGGGAGGCAAGTTGCAGTGAACTTCGGTCACGAAATCCTTCGGCCACATGTGAATCTTGAAGTGGTTTCTTTTTGCCGTGTTATTTTCTAAAACACAAAGTCAAACCTACAAAAGCTTCATTTATTTGTGATACAATACTACTTTAATTGGGTAGATTATGTTTGTTGATGGCTGAAGTTTTATACGGATAGGTTTGTGATATACACGCAACGCTGAACACATCAATAATTGGGGTACCACTTGTACAATATTGCGACCTCCATACTTCTTTGAAGCATGACAACCTCTTGTCGGTCATTCGCCACTATTCCAGTCATACTCGTTTTCATATCCTTCCCCCTGTTGAAAAGACCGGCTGAGATAGCTCAGGGAAACAACTGATGCAACTGCAGGGTCTCTAACCGGGAGGTCTTAGTCCCGACAGTAGCATATGTCCGACTCTAGCTTTGAAGGTATTAG